CTTTGGGATGGTCTAAAAAGGAGTACTCGACAAATACTATGGGACAATGGGAGTAATAATCAATTAATTAAGTCTTATTTTCGGAGTAAAAGAACTAGGTACTTTGTACCTAGTTTTGAGTAGGGCAAGGTCTACATACACGCACCCTCCCCAGACCCTACTCTCGTGGGATCCAACTGGGTGTTTTGATACTATATCCAACACATTGCACTTTAAAATATTTAAAATATATTTTCTTAATAACTAATGAAAATAATATGGAAGAGAAGACTTAGAAGCATCATTTTCCTCACGGGAGAGTTATTTATGCATTGCTCTTTCATTAACAATCATTTCAGCCAATGTTGTCAATGTCAAATAAGGTAACATGTAAAAGTTGGGCTCATAATGCTGAAAAGCAGGAGTAGGGGGTCACCATATTGGCACTATATCTATTTGACTATATGGTTTCAATCAATCTTATAACAGTTATTAAACATGGGTTCTATAAACCTAATCGCTTTAATGCTAATCATCTCATTACAGTGGAATGATATGTTGATATTTTCTCCTCCCTGGCTACGTGTTATAAATGAGAATTTTGATGCAAAGGGTATCCATGATTTTAGGTCGAAGGAGAGGGATAGTCATAATTTCTAAGATTCTTCATCCATTACATAATATTAACCCCTAATCCCATTTCAATATTATGGGCATATTAGAATGTACAATAAACCTACAAGAAATGGCCACACGACAAAGTATTTACATTACCATTCTTCAACATAACCCATGTGGCCTCTCAGTTGACTACTTAACTCTTAACAACTTTAGTTGCAAAACATTCATAATCTCCGATGTGGGAAATCATAAAAAAAAATAAATTTAATTGGATCATGGCGGTTGCACATCACAATGACATGCTCCCTTCAATATCATGAGAAAACTCTAACCCAGCATATGCTTTGATTTAAGGGAGACATTAATTATCAACATAGGACATTTCAAGTTGGATTTGCGAAAGATCCAATATAAGCTTTTACTAGGTTGTATATTTTCCACTACATTTTATGATTAGAGATTTGCAATTTGTATTCAGTCCATAAATGGAAGTAAGTAGATCTGGTCCAAATATGATTCAACAGCTGCAGATTTAACAGAGTGAATGTGGATTAGATTCCAGGTTTGAAGGACTTGTTCTCTTCGCATGATAAAATGTGATCTGATCTATTAAGAGTTGGGTTGTTCTGATTTTGTCGAATTGTTTGGTGTGGTCGCCTGGTTGGAATGTTGTATGAAATAGAATCCTGTTCTACAGATTTGAAATGAATATTTCTATGATCTTGTCTGGTCTAATTTGAATGTTTTAGGTCTTGTTTGATCAAATTAAAAATAAGACTGCTTACTAAGCAAAAAATAATAACCTAACACCCAAATATTCAATATATATGACATATACTCCCTCCATCCCAAAATTAACTTCCCATGTGAAAATGACAGAGTGTATGAAGAGTTAAATTGTCTGGTCAATGTTTGCAAGAGGATAAAAAAGAATATAAACCATATATATGTAAGAAGAATGTAAAATTCATTTTGGGGCATCCAAAAAGGAAATTTAACTAGATGAATTTGGGTCGGGGTAGCAATATTCAAGTGAATTTCTTACCTAAAATAAAAAAAACCACCGTTGTGCTACTGGTTCAGTATTAAGAACATGATTCTTTTTTTTAATCGGGGGGGTAAAATTTAAAATCAATCACATTATCAAAACAAGTCACTTATCTAATTCATCAAATGCAACATATAGTGGTGAACCAGTGGTTTTTCCCGAACTGGATCCTCATAGTGCCATCAAATGCAACATGTAGATTTCTTGTGATTCTTGCATCCTCTACACTTAGAATCTTTGTACTCGACCCCTTGATGATCATATTTTTTTAATGTACGCTTGTGCTTTAAAGCCTTGAAAATACATTCATACATTCTTTGTAGATGCCCACTGGTTATTCCTGCAATCAGTTTTGTTCCAAACTAACATTCCAGCAACAAAATTCTGGGGCCGAGTATAGGTCCCCACTCCCAAACATTCTAACACCGTTGTATATAGAAACTACATTTTGGGTGGCATATGTTTACCTCGGTTCTCTCTAAGATCCTAATGATATAGACTATTTAAAATGACCGCAACAATATTTGCAAGTGTCCCAGAATAAATTTTTCCCGATGACATAGGATGTGTAACCAGTACAATTTTTTCAATGAATATGTGGATATGAGAGATCTCGTTGTAATTGTTGTCATTTTTTCAGAGGGTGCGTTTGGAGTTCTTTTTTGGAAAAGTGTTTTTGACTTTTTGAGGGATTTTTTAACTTGTTGAAAGTGCTTTTGAAATGAGTTGCGTGTGAAATTCTAACAGCTTTCAAATTTCAGGGGCTTTCCAACAATCCCTATAATTTTTCAAAAGGTTAATCTAAGTACGCACTAGGTCAAATCTAAGTACCCTTTCAATGTTTCCATTTGAGTTGCGGTTGGTCATGAAGACCAACTTGTTACTGCCTTTTTGAACATTCTGAAAATTATACCAAGTTCCGAACTTTTTTTCCATCTAAGGCACACCCTTCTTTAATGACATCTTGACATTCATTTCCACAAGTGCTGCTTATTATGGTTTCCTTGAATAAGATATTAGGATGGGATCCTCATGGATGCTTGAGTCACATTCATCATACACAATAGATCATTAAAGATCATGTCGTCCAGTCATGACATATTTATTGGTATTTTCAGTATCACCATTAGTGATTTAGCTAACAATAACACTTTCATTATTTGGTTGCATAAATAAAGGATATAATTTAGTGTCATTCAGCTACCCTTCTTCTATGCCGTTGTTAGGGGTTGCTTGGTCTGGGGTGATAGAAGTCATAGAACAAAGTAATGGGTTTGATTGAGTTAAATTTCTTATTTTTATTAACTACTCTCCTCTAGTAATGTGTGTGATCCCATTTCTATATACTCTTTGATCACACTCATTGCTATTGATACTGGTGATTTTAAATATGACCCCCCCCCCCCGGTCCTCTATTTATATTTGGATTTCTGCTTTTCCATGAAACACTTCTGAGGTAACCGGTCAGCTATCTCTCACACGCGTATAATGTGAGATGTGAGTAGTTATTGGTAAGGTTGATGAAGTTTATATCATTGTAAAAGGGCGGTACGTGAATTAAGAAAAGCTTTTTACTTGATGAACATTGTTAACTTTTGAGATTTTTTTTATCACGGAGTACTTAATTTAGTGAGACATGCAGGGTGTAAGCAAAGGGCTTGTTGCGAAACGGCTACTTTCGTTGATGGAAGAGAGAGGGATGGCCCCAGATTTTGTTCTCTGCATAGGGGATGACCGATCAGATGAAGACATGTTTGAGGTGATTATGAACTCCGTGGCCAGCCCATCCGTGGCACCCTCTGCTGAGGTCTTTGCTTGTACTGTCGGCAAAAAGCCAAGCAAGGCCAAATACTATGTTGACGACGCTGCAGAGATCTTTAGGTTAATGCAGGGCTTGGCTTCTGTTGCCGAACAGCAACTGCAACAAACAGTCTTGCTTTGATCCTTGGCAGACGAAAAACGAAGCTTCTGCTCTCTCATGGTTTCTCTATGTGCTGTAAACTTCAACATTGCACAAAACTCTTGTAAAAAAAGACAAGTAGCAGCTAGGAGGGTTACATGCCTGTTTGTGTTGACCTTTGAAGTCTGGTGTGGCTTGTATCTTAACATAACATGTGTTTGGTTGCAGAGTGAGGGATTATGTTTATTTCGTTTGGTGGTTTGTATTTCGATGCAATAATTTTTTGTTTCTTGTATGCTAATTTAGAGGCATCAAAGTTACTTAGTCATACCATGAAGGTCTAGGAGGGTATCATCGAGTCTAGGTTGAGGAATGAGGCGTTTTTATTTGCATTGATGATGGGTGTTTGCTGAAGATATTGTACTGATTGACGAGACTCGGGTTGGGACTCAATGACAAAGTAGAAGTATGTCGTCAGCCCTTGGAATTCAAAGGTTTCAAATTAAGTAGGAACGAGAAAGAGTGTGTGGTTCATTGTATTGGGGCATGTGGGTAGGTTCGACCAGTTAGGCATGTAGGTAGATCGAATGGGACGTGGTTCATTGTATTGGGGCTGCTTGAGCAAAGCCGAGGTTTGCCTTTAGTTCTACTTTGCTACAAAAAGATTTTGACAAACATGAAAGGGAATCACACACAATCATGATGATCATTCTCATTGCTCTTGCATACCTTCTTATACGCTTCAGCCATGACAATATTTCTTTTTAGGGGATAAAACATAGAAACTGGAAAGAAACTGAAAGAACTGGAAAAAACTAGAAAAACATCAAAATATTGAAAAAACTAAAAAAAAAACTTTAAAAAATTTATTTTACTGTATTTTTATATTATTCTAATTCTAATTCTTGTTTTTATAAATTATTATTATTATTGTTGTTATTTTTATTTTTATTATTATTATTATATTATTATTGTTGTTGTTATCATCATCATCACGTTATCTTAATGAATGTTTTTAAGATAAAAAGGTATTATTATTTTTCAAATACAAAAAACTACTTTTGCAAAAAAAAATATTACTCCCTCCGTCCTAATTCCACCTTCCCACATTGACTTTTTCCCATTTTTAAGGACTCCATATTTTTACCTTTGACTTCCCATTTTGCCCCTTACTAAAAATTTTAGGAAATTTTTTTTTAAGGCTAACTAAAAAAAGGTTAAAAAAGGGATTTAATAAAGGAAAAAAAACACACTAAAACATCTCAAAAGGAAGCAATCCACGGTACATTAAGCCCAAATAGCAAAGGCATCCACTTTTACAAATTTCATGTTCAACCAAATTCAATAAGGAGGGAAAGTTCTAAAAATTTCCCTCACAAACAAAAATAAAAAAAATCCCCCCAAAGCCTATTCTATAAATAGGAGCATACTTTCCACTTTTAGAAAGGGAATCCCTAGCCAATTTTTTTCATCCTTAATGTCTGCCCCTGGTCTTGAACCTCCTCCTGCATTTGCTGCTGCTGCTGCCAGCATCTCGACAGGTACTACAACCATCCCGAGTGCTGCTGCGACCATCCTGACTGTCCCGAATGCTGATGCGACCATCCCGACTGTCTCGAATGCTGTTGCGACCATCCCGACTGTCTCGACTGCTGCTGCGACCATCCCGATTGTCCCGACTGCTGCAGCGACCATCCCGGGTGCTGCTGCTGTCCTTCAACCAGGCAGAGATGAAGACCTGCGAAGAGAACAAAGATCATGCATGACCAGGCTATCAAACCGTCAAAGGCAAAGAATTGTAGAAGCAATCCTACCATATGCAAAAAAAATATTTCAGGTGAGTACACAGCTCAGAAAGGAATAATCAGCAAGGTTGCTGATAAATTCTGTTGGACATGAGTTCAAACCTCTTTACTATTTCTTCTGGAATATTTTTTTGTTTTGATGAATGACAAACAGGATGATTAAATTCAAAGTTATCGAAAATTTATTTTCGTATCGAGAAAAGCAAAGAGGCGTATCAAGATAAAATCAAGGCTTACCCCTACGCAGAAGTTTTTGAAGTGAAGTGAAGACTCCGAAGATTTCTTTTAATTGAGTCTAGGAATCTTTATAAGGATGAAAATACTTTCTGCACAAACAAATTATTTTTTAAGGGATAAAAATTATTATTTTCTGAGTCAGTTGAAAAATTACTTTTCCTCTGTCTAAAAATATTTTACTGGCCCTTTATGTTTGCATGATATTTTGAAATTAATCGATTTTCTCTTCTTTTTTAATCGATTAATAGACTTCTGGTTGGATTCCCAGGATCGCCCAATAATCGATTAATATTCTTCATTTAATCGATTTGTTAGCACAGAACCACCTAATCGATTATTTTCTTCAGTTTAATCGATTAGTTCCTTTCCTAATTTTAGGCATTTTCGCCTCTGTGTACCTTAATCGATTAATAGTTTCACTTTAATCGATTATTTTTATCTGGTGCATATTCTCGCTTGCTCCAACGGCTTTATTTTCCTCAACCTATTTAATCCCTCATTCTCCTTCATTTCTATACACTACTCTTGCACTCTAATATACCCTTTGAGCTATATTCATTCCTTGCTTCATCTTCCTCATAAAATATTATTTTTGAGAGTTAGAAATATTTTTCTTTGAGTGATAAAGAAGTTGTCATCCATAGAGTTTTAATCCTTCAACACTACTTTGCTCAATTGTGTGAGCTTTCATTCTTGTGTTGTAAACTCAATCTCATTTGAGTGTTGTTCTAAAGACTTGTGTGACTCAAGTCTTGTTGTTGTAAGAAAGTGAGGCTTGTGTGATTCAAGTTCTCAAGTTGTACTGGTTTTTCAAGCACCCGTTGAACCAGTAGAACTTTCGAGAAAGTCTCTCGGAGGACTAGACTAGCCACGAGGTGGTGAACCAGTATAAATCTCGGTGTTCTTCTTTCCCTTACTCTCTTTATTTATTCCTGCGATTTTATTATTTCACACACGCGAAAAACACACATTCTTGAAAACAACTCTATTCACCCCCCCTCTAGAGTTGCACATTTGTCTAACAATTGGTATCGGAGCAGGAAGTTCTTCGAATACGTTATTTTTCAGGAACTAAAAGATCAAATGGCATCAAGAATGTTCAACGCAGGAGTGACCGAGGGACAATCAACCACGAGGCCACCTTTGTTCGATGGAACAAACTACTCGTATTGGAAGGAGAGGATGAGAATCTTTATCCAATCCAACGACTACAAGCTGTGGTTGATTGTGAAGAACAGCTGCGGAGTCCCGATGAAGAAAGTCGGTGAAGTCAACGTCCCCAAAACCGAAGAGGAGTTCACCGACGAAGATTGCAAAAAGATGGAGCTCAACGCAAAGGAAATAAACATGATTTATTGCGGTGTTAATGCGGATGACTACCGCAAAATCTCGCGGTGTGAAACCGCAAAACAAATGTGGGAGAAATTGGAGGTCACCTACGAAGGAACCGCGCAGGTTCGGGAGGCCAAAATCGACCATCTCACCCACAAGTACGAACTCTTCTCAATGAAGGAAAACGAGAAGATTGAGGAAATGTTTGAGACTTACACCGACTGAGAACTTGCAAGAAAGGTGCTACGAAGCTTATCCCCAAAATGGCGTTCAAAGGTGGACGCAATTGAAGAAGGACGTGACTTCCAAACAACGACCTATGGTGCTCTTCGAGGTAACCTCATTACCTATGAAACCACCCAACTCTCAAAAGTGGTTGAAGAGAAGAGCAAGAGGTCTATTGCTCTACCCGCAACAACATCAACCCACAACAACGTTGATGATGAAGATGATGACAGCGACGACACCGACCTCGGACTCTTCGTCCGAAAATTCAAGAAGATGATGCTCAAGAGGGGAGCCAAGAAGAACACTCCACCCAAGTGCTATGGGTGTGGTAAAATTGGACACTTCAAACCAATGTGTCCAAAGTTCAAAAACGAGAAGGACAAGAGGGCACCGAAAAAGCAACGTGACTACATTTCTTGGGAGAACGACGGCTCCGGGAGTGAAGACTCGGAAACGGAGGAAGTGGCCAACCTATGTCTCATGGCCATTGAGGATGGTGAAACATCAAAAGAGGTAAGTGATCAAGAACCTTCTCCCAATGATCCTTTAACTCTTAATGATGTTATTTGCATTGTAGAAGAACTTGTAGGAATGTTCAAAAAGGCTTCCAAAGAAAATAATGAAGTTAAACAAAAAATCCTGATTTTTGAAAAAGATGTAAAAGAACTCAAAAATATAAATGATAAACTTAAACAAGAAATTATCTCTCTTGGAAAAAGGCCACAAGAACCTTCATCTACCTCTTCTACATGTTCTAGTTGTACATCACTAAAAGCTAAGGTTGCTAGTTCAGAGAGCAAATTGGGAAAGTTTAATAATGCTTGAAACACCTTAGATGAAATACTTAAGCAAAAAGTTATTAATGGTGAAGGACTTGGATATAAGAAAAACCAACCTAGAAAAACAACATTTGTTAAAGCTAGGAGAATAAAAATGCTAGGATAAATAAAAATGCTAGGATAAATAAGATAGGGCACATTGTGAAAGGTAACCATGCAAGGATAGGCAGCGGAATATAATTTTTTTTTAACATCCTAACATGATTATCTTGCCCAGAATCACGTACTAAAACTTATAGTAGTAAGAAATTTGTACCTTTCTCCGTAAGCGGTAAAAACAAAGAAGTCGTAGGAAGAGCGTTGAAAGTGCAAACGTAACCGTTCAAGCGTCCGGTCTCCAACTTTGACACACGAACAACGCCGGAGTCTACCACAATCTTTATGCTAGTAAAGATTATAGTAGTATAAAATATAAAGAATAAAATTGGGATAATAATAATCTTGTATATTTCTATAGAAAATATTTCTAATAATATTTAGAAAATATTATAGATATTTTCTATACACAAAATGATATTAATGGAACACAAAAGAATTTTTCTCTCTCAAGAAAAATGGTATGGCCGAATGAAAACTCTCTCTTTAATACAATATTGTGTATCATTATTATAAAGAGATTTTAAATATCAATAATACACAAAATGACAAATTAGAAAATTTCAACATCTTTAAATATATGCAAAATCAAAAAGGCAAATTGTCCTTTGTAATGTCACATGGCCGAAAGTGGATTGTGAAAAGTGAAAAGGATTCTTGAAATTCTTCTCCACTTAAATGTTCAAAGTGTATTTTATTTGACACCAAAAATTAATACAAAATTAATTTTAAATCAAATAAAATACCCATATCATTTTTAAACAAGTATAAAATATACTTCAAATAGTTTATGTCAAAATAATTATTTTCATAATTAAAATGACAAACCAAAATAAAATATTCAATATACAATATATATATATATATATATATATATATATATATATTAATCGGCACATATATATAAAATATATATATAACCGAATATTTATATATATAATATTATATTCCAAAATATTTTATTTTACTATTTTACAAATATACAAATTACTTATTATCCCATTGTTTAATCCTACTCCTTAAATTGTCCAAAGTGTGTGACCCGTATAGGCACTTATAAAGCTGGCCACAGTATTGGCTCTGCACCAATACTATAAGCAATAAGCGGTATCTAGCAACACATTATTGCCCCCAGATTATAAGTTAAGACGTTTGCACCGTCAAAACCTTTCCACGACTCAGACTCCGTGTAACT